ATTTTTTCTGCTGAAAAGCATACTCAACAGTCATGTATATATACATTATATTTTGAATGCAGCACAGTGTATTTTTGATTGTAAAATACTGCTTGAAAACAGATCATCTGAATAATAGTCTCCATATATACACACACATATATATACACACACATATATATACACACACAGAGACATATGCCTGTGTGTATATATACACACCTATACAATCATTAATTACTGTTATGTTTTGTTAAAGGAAAAGGATTTGGGAAACAATCTGACTAGCAGATTAAAACTCCTATCCAAGGAACATACTTCCCTACAGTCCCATGGGTCAGAACCAGCCAGGTAATCTCCTCATACCAACAGGGCCACAGACTAGAGGAAAAAAACCCAACATAACTCCATATATTTCATTTCAGATTTCAAGTAACAGTACACCGCAGACTAAGAATGATGCCCATTTCACCAGTGGATTTATCTTAAGGATAGTCAATTCTGCCACAAAATTACTTCTCTTCAATCATTTATTTTTGGGTTATATATTTCCAGCTCTTTACATTCACCCTTACATCAGTTATCTCCAACTGAAATCCATCTGAAATTCAACTGACCACTGTGATTCCAGATGAGACTTAGCAAGTCAGCAGCTCTCAAACTGGTGAAATCTTGATTTTCCACAAGTGTCTTTCTATAAGGTAAGGCAGATTCTACATGAACTTAAGTTGCTGAAGGTATAATAGCTCCAGCAGGTCTATGCTAGTTTATACCAGCTAAAGATCTCTAAATAGATTTATGCAAAAAGCTCCTTTTTTATTGCTTAGAATTATTTCTATATGGAATGTTTATTTCTTTCTTGAAAGCCTTCCCTTCAGTATAAGGAACCATTACCCTCTGTTCATTTTATTTAATCTTGTCTTGAAATGAAAAGCTGACCGGTTTTTATACTAGCTGTATGGTTGGATGTAGGTTTAAAAGCAACCAATAAAACAACAAAACCCAAAGAACCTGTCAAGTGTTTCCACATCTTTCCCACTTATTTTTACATATATATATATTTTTTTTTTTTTCCCTCCTGGCTCCACTTGGAACTCTTTAAAGCATACTTCTATAACATCATCTAAAATTTACTCAGGTGGTAGTGTATTTACTCTACATTTAATCAGTGCCTTGGTTCATCCATAATTTAAAAATATGAAGAATAAAAATCCTCTTTTCTATTAAAGGGATTTAGAATCTTTGAGGACATTCATAAAGCACTTCGAGATGTTTTTGCATGAAAAGGTGCCACTATATATTACATGTAATTAAAGTGGTTTAATAGAAGAGAATGTTTTCTATGCTCAGGATCTATTTTGCACATAAAAATTAAATACATTTTGGAATAAACAAAACTACTCAGTGTAAAGGGATTTGAAAGTACTAGATGCTATAGATTTTACAGCAGCTCTTCAACCAAGCAGGAGTACCTGATACTAGAAAACAATTTTTAGAGGATCTGGAAGAATGGCGCAGACATGCAGATGTCACGAGACACTTTTTCCATGATAAGGGAAAAATATTAAATCATTTTGAAAAATATATTAATATGTTCCAAACAAATGTCATGATAAAATTAAGCCATTGTTCTGGTTGAACACAGGTAAAAAATGCACAAAATAACTTCTAATCTGCTTTAAATCGCACAGAAGACTGATCACTTTTAAAGTGAGAAACAAGCACTTCTTGAACACAAGAATCGCAAAGCTTAAATAATTCAGCAGAGCCATTCACATACATTCATGTATTATGAATGAATGCTCACTTATAATTTATTCCTTGCACACACAGCTTTATGCTAACACATTTAATGACTTTAAAAAAATTTTTTTAAACAATTTAACAGCTGAAATGGGAGCAGCCTATACCTTGTTAGAATAATGGTTTTAATTTGACTGCTTTGGTCACAATACTTAAGCTGCAGCAGTTACTACTTTGAATTTGTTTTTCTGCGGTCATAATTTACAACTTAAGAGTTAAAGAAAGAGTTTTTGATGCTGTAAGGGGGCCTTGTCTGTGGAAAATGGAGTAAAACAGTTAGGGTGGTTAAATCTAGATGCAACTTCTCCATCTTCTGATCTCCTTTAATATTGATGGTACATACTTTTCCTACAAAATACACACAGGACCATACATTTGAGTGCCAAGACACTCTGACTCAGAAGAGAACAATTCCAACCAAGCAATTGATTATGAGAACATGAAATAGGTTTCACTAGGGTAAATAAAATATCCTGTGCTTTATAAACTTTAATGGCCAAGAGCAAACATGAGGCTAACATTCAAATAAATAACTCCCAATGATAACTTCATTTCAAATTGTTTATGCTCAAATGCAGGGATTCGTCTGGGAGATGCTGAAATCATTCAAGCATCTTCAGATATTCAATATCACTGTAACAACAAGGCAGCTCAGAAATTGCTGCTTCTAATAATTTCCCTAATCATTTAGCTGGAATAGGTCTTCCTACTTGGCTCAGAATTAAGTTTGCAGGAGCTTAGAAAACAGAATGTACTTCATGATTACAGTCATACCATCATATTATTTTCAGAATTGCTCAGTCCGTCTTATCTGAGGACTCCTTTAAGTCAACTGCTCCCCTTACACTCAACAACTTGAACATGGGAAACAATGTTTTTATACATTAGGATGTGGTAAGATGACCCTCCAAGATCCCACAATTGCACCTGAGACTTTTTTTTTTTTTAGAAGATACCCACTTTCAGGAGATGACCATGAAAGAAAATTAGCCACAGAGAGTTCTTGCTTTCCTGAATGTTCCCCCATCCCTCACTAAGGTATGCAGAAGATGGCATGTACTAGCTAGGGAGACCCAGGCGAAGATTTGATGGTACTCACCAACGTGAATCAAAACGGGCTTGAGCTGCCCATAAATAAAGATAAATACAGCAGACAGCAGAAATAACTTAAAGTCTCCTACCGAATTACAGAAGAACTTGCACATCAGATAAAAGTAATGCTAGGGTTACACCCAGAATAATCTGGACACATGGAGCACCCAAGGAAGAATTCAGAACTGACATGCACAAAGTCAGTTGTAGAGTTAGTACTCTACAATGCCATGTCCTGATAATTAATAACACTAGCGTAAAGCTTTGAAGTCTAAAGGCCATGGTAGATCTTGGATTTGTGCAGGTGAGAGCAAAACCCAGCCCACTAACAGTAAGTTGCATGACATTCTTACCAAAGAATCACAGACACTGTGTACTCATGTACGCGTGATGCTAAAAACAGAGGTTACTTTAACAATCTTTTGTTAAATGCTAAATAAGTTGGGGTTTTTTTCCCCCCTATAGTGTCACAAAAAGAATAAAGTGGGAGTGGGAGTTCAGTGAATACTTTGTCTGGGAATCTCATTATAAAAAAAGCAACAATTTAAATCTACCCTCATGTTACTAACAAAACTGGACTTGAACCTGAGCTCTTCAGCTTAACATGATTTAAAATACAGATTGCAATTATACTGAGAAGACTCCTGAATGTTCTTGTGACAAGTTGATTGTAGAAGTTACCTGTTTTACTTCCTTTGATGGGTCAGAAAAGGAAAGATGGCAATGATTTTAATTGCTTGCTTGATAGTAAATCACTGCCTCCGAGTTTGTCATATTTCATCCAAGGATATTACAGTAAAAATTTTAGGGAGGTCATTTGCCTCTATGTACAAAAACCCTAATAGGAATGGAAGTTCATAAGGGACTTAATGCTGTAGAGCCCACAAGTCCTTATTCCCATAAGCAGAATGAAAATAATGTCAGTTAATGCAACTTGAGATTTGCAGACTCAGACCTCATACTAGATTTGTATAAAGCTTTACAACAATAATCCTTGAAGATTGTTGTCATAAATAAGTATTAGAGTAGCTAATCTTCTGCAAAAATTAAAAGATTTAAGTTCAAAATGTTCTTTTGTTCCAATAACCGTCACAGCAAAAATACATGTTCCCAGAGGGTCACTAGAATCTGTTGCTTTTTCTCAAACCACATACTGCATTTCGGTAATGAACTGCTGCACTCTTAAAAGATAACAGTGATAGGACACTGAAGAAAAGCGACTACTCTTTTAAACACAACTGGAACTTATTTGTCCATTGCATGCCACTTACATTACGGCTTTTTTTTTAATGCATAAAAATGTCAAGATCATTAAGTGTCAGCTATTAAAACAAATCGCTGAACAGTGTTTGTTAATTTAGGACTGTGTTTAATTTCAAATAGAAAACATGCTTTTTAAATAAATTATTCACTAATAGGAACCCAGTATCACAAAATCAAAGCAAAAAATCAAGTATTGTACATTTTTAATACTGTACATATATTATATATTGTCTTCTCGTATTTTAGGTATTCATTTCTAGATTGAAAATCATTAGATTGTTTCCTCGATAAATTGAAACTTTAAAACCAATATACCTGTGAAAGCAATTTGCATTAATTAAAAAGAGACAAGCAAATACAACATATGTACAGATCTATGGAATTCAATCTATAAACTACATACATTAAACCAAACCATCCCTGCATATTTAACTACAGATCTATTTTGGCAATGTGGAGGTATATCTTTTATCCTGTTGCAAGTCCTAACATGTAAGTAGGAAGCTTCAATATTTGCATTCTTAATGAAAGTAGCAAATGTTAACCGAAGAGCAACTGGATTTTCAAAAAAATTGCATCATGACAAACAAGTAGTACAGTAAAGTTAGTTAAGTATTTTTAATAGCATTCACATTTTTTTAAAAAGTCTCTGAAATGGACCTGTACATCACTTTTATTGACAGAACATAAATACAAGAAAAACATCCCTAAAAAGACCAGAATTTTTCCCAAACATAAAGTGCTAAGATGTGTACGGTAGTAAGAAGTTTCTTTTTTTTTTTTCTTTTTTTTTTTTTTTAAATTGATTGAGCAAACAAAGGCTAACCACAAATTCAATTGAAATCTTTTTAAAATACCATGTGTTCTTAAGCTTCAGCATTCAGATGTTTTAGAAGATTCAGGTTGCTCTTCTAAATTCGCTTGCAGTTCATTTTGACATTCTGGTGTCTCACCTTTGACAGCTAAATGGATAACTTTTAGCCATTTCTGTTTCAGTTCCTCATTGTCCGCAGCAAAGCTGTGCACAGACTTAGACTGCGTCAGTTTGAAGCTGTGCGGGAGGTCAGCACTTCTTGGAGTGTCATCTACTGTGTAGCCCAGAAGTGGAATTGTAGCCAGAGCTTTAACATCCTAAGGAGGAGGAAACGTTCTTGATTAAGAACAGCCAACTAATCTGCCCGGTACCTCTTGTTTACTATACAGGTTAGTAAAAACCACTTGGGTCTTTCCGCCATTCCCAACTGGTTCGACTTCTCTTCCTCAGATGTCAGTGACAATAATTACTAAAATCTTTTCCATTTTCTCTGTACATACCTGTGGAGCACCATACATGTATAGCACGAGAGCCTCCTGTTTAGGTATAACACACCATGCTTTCTGCCAGGGCTTTGATTTTTCCATGTACTGAAGAAAGCTACATATGACGCTATTTCCAGACACTTCTGCAGATTCAATCTAGGAGATAGTATAAAGCATAAAAAGGAAAATAAACTTTCCTTAAATAAAGACTAAAAACGTACAGAACAGAAAAGCAGAAATTCATCACCATTCATATCAAATCTTGGATAGCATCAGCAAAAGAGCTTGAGCAAATACCTAGGATCATGAAGGACTGGATTTAGGGAGAATATTTATATATTACATACATACAATCATGTGTACTCCCTTAACATGTGTAATCTGTTCCTTCTTTCATCAGTAATTTTGGATTATACACTTCTAGATCACTCCAGATTTCATTTTGCCACCACAGCTAGCCTTTCTCTGTATCTTAGTATCTACAACAATGTCTGATTTCTAAAATAACATCATGTTAGGCATTCAAGTGCCACTAACTATCCAGTGTAACAACTACTCTATTTTGGCAGTCAAAATATTACGACAGAATCATATGCAAACACTTTTCTACAAATAATATAAGACTGCAAGCACTAATCCTAGAGAAAAGATTAGGTGAATTGCTTAAAATCTGAAGACAGTGTGATATGCTACTCAGGTTAAATAGTAATCCTAAGAAGAACAGAAAGCACACAAAATGATAATGTGTTAAAATTTCCTTGCATCAGTTTTTTTCCTCTCTCAGTAGTCATGCTGTTTGGATGCTGCAACACGGTACCAACCACTTCATTGTCATGAGACCCAGCATGCAGACAGCCATTTCTAAGAGACTGTAGCTCCTTCAGCTACCTTGAAAAAAGCCATCATGCCAAGAAACAGCACTCTTGACTATACGGTAAGCTAGTGGATTTCTGTGCTCCTTACTCTTTCTCATATGAGAGAGTGTAGTCAAGTGTAGTCAAGCCAACATGGATTATGAACTGTATACGGAATTATAATCTGTATCTTATTTTTGCCTTCTTTTTCTATTGGTATTCAGCTCAAGAGTCAATCCTTCTCTATTACATCCCAAGATAAATATATGTCTTGACAAAGTCAGGATGATATTTCTCTAGTGTATGTCAGGCATTTTGGAAAGGCCTATAAAGGGAAATTTAAGAAATGTGAAGGTTAATTGGAATTGTAAGATGCCTATTTCTCCCCCGATCATAAGAGAAACATGGGTCTTTATTGTCTGATTGAGACCTTGAATTCATACATGTCAAAAGCTGAGAGCAACCTCATGACTTAAAAGGTACATTGTATACACTGATCAAAACGTTATCTTACTACTCGGACTCTAAATAGCAAAATTCTCACCCATTCCCCTCTCCTCCATGCCCAGTTCTTTCAGTTTGGGTATGGGTTTTCAAGAATCATTGTAGTAGCAGTGTTTTTTGTTGCTACAACAGCTTAAGTGCAGAAGAAGAAAACTGAAGATTGACAAGGAAAGGTAATGTTTTATGACATTAGCTGATATAAGCTGATATAAGATGAATGGTGAAAAACAAAAATCTATTGGATGGGATGAATTTGGTCCACATACTTTTTATTTCTCAAACAGAAAATAGCCCTGCAAGAATGCTACAATTTTTCACCTACCGATCAGCCGAAACCATTTGCAACTATGCACATATAGTATTTTTATGTGACATACCTCCAAGATGCCTTTCTTCTTCTTTTCTTCACTGTCTGTACAACCAGTTATAACATGATAGCAGTCCTTACAGACTTTGTTCAATTTATTGCCATCATATTCCAGATGTGCCTTATAATCGGAACATTTCCAGCAAACCACCTTAGAAACAAAAAAGATAAGCAAACATATAAAACTTAAGTATTTATAAAACTTTATGGAAACAATTTAATTTAAAATTAATATTATTATATCTAATCAGTAATATTTTGTTTAATTATGGAGAACAAGAAAGATAATTGCTTTATGATCCTATTATGTCAACTGTAACTTAATTGAAAATAATGATGTTTCCAAATTTGTGCCACTGCTTCTTAACTAGAAGTGCTTTTTACTGTTTACCTGGTGGTAACCTTGTACTTTGTATAAAATCACATTAGGCTTTCAATTATATCTGTAGGTTAAAGTTAGGAATAGAATCAGAAAATAGCACAAACCATGCTGCAGGAAGAAAATTCAGCTTCTTTAGATGCCAACCTGAAAAGGTACACTTACCATTTTGTTGTCTACATGATCTCAGAAATGTACAACTGAGATGCACTTTTAATCATTAAAAAAATCAATAAAATCAGAAATGGTTAATTTTTTAACCTAAGAAATATTAAATTTACAGTTTCAAAATCTGTTCATAAGTGCACAGAATACATAAGGCAATGTCACAGTCTTTTGTCTTTTCACAAATTATATAGAGAAAACTGAAATGCAAGAAGAGCTGAGAGAAGTTCTTTCATTAGAAATATTCTTCCACAGAAACGTTCTTTCAGGGGGAAGAGATGCCCTGCATAAAAAGTGTGAGTGAAGTATTTCAAGAAAGAAAGGTACACAAATGGACTTGAACCATTCAAGCACCTGAACAAAATTTTATTGTGGACCAGGGCTCTGCAGTACTAATCTAGATCACTATCTTAACTAGTATTCTGTAGAGATACTAGTTGAAGTATTCCCAATTAGTCACTGCTGGAAAGACACTATCACTGACCCAAATTAATTCTCATGGAAAAATGTTTTAAAATTAAAGTGGAAGGAGACATGACAGAACTACAAGAGAGGACAGTAGTTAAGAGTCTAAACTAAAGGAGGAATAAAAAGGAAGGGTATGATCTTAAGATTAACAGAGGAGTTTTAAGACAGAATGATCTGTGGAAAAAAAAAAAAACAAACAGACGACAACTCTATAATCAATAATTCAGAGCTTCTGAAAAAGTCTCTAGTGTCCTGCAAAGCACAAAAGCAGGGTTGTGAATGCAGTAAGCCTCCATACCACATAAAAACATTAGAAAGAAATAGTACAAGATAACCTGTAAAACAAAAATTAAACCTGGGCTTGCACTACCACCTGCTGGAGAAAGGCATAGCTGCTGTATGGCAGGAAAAGAAAGCACAGTATGTTTGCTCTTTTATTAATTTCTGAAAACTCTCAAGTCATACCACTGTCTCATAGTCACTTTAAAGTGGCATGCATTACCATAGCAGCATCATACATGGAAAGCAGCAGTAATACCCTCTCCCTTTCCTAACCTTCTCTCCTTCCCTGATGATTCATGCATGTTCACACAGTTACACACTGAACCCAGCTGGGAACAGCTCCAAGTTAATCCACTGAAAAAGTTTTAATTGCAGGTCTTTGTGGCCTTCTTGTGACGAGGAGAGAGAAGGTAGCAGAATGGGAAGAGGAGGCAGCCAGTGCTGCCAGGGATAACGCTGGCTCATGCCAGTTTAATGTGGTCTTGAAACTTGAGATCAGTGGAGGCCACTCAGGAGTAACGGTATAGTATGTCCAGGAGCTTGGGACATTTTACACAAACGTGCATCTTCCTCTGCTGTAAATTACTTCCAAATTTACCACGACAACTAAAGCAGAGAGAGGATGCTTTGTGGTATGCTATACACAGCTTCTGCTTTCAGCCACAAGCACAGCAAAAAACTGCAGCCTAACAAGCAGCCACCAGAAGTAGGTGCTTAGACTTGTTCCCAAGCCTGCTCACCAGCTACAGCAGCAAGGGTTTTGCACTTACATGTCCACATGCTCGGCAGTGGTGCCTTCTCCTTGTCAGCGCATTAAAGGGCTCCTTGCATTTCATGCACATGGTTACTTCATTGTCTCGTATCCACCTCGGTGCTCTCTTCCCAAGCTCG